AAACAAACACAATATGCTATTTATAACAAAGAGTAAGGTCTTGTACCTGCTTTTTGTAAAGTTTCTTGAGATAACATTTGTTATGAATTGGGGCTATATAAATAATGATTGATTGATATTAAGTAAGGTATATAGGCCTTCTCTTGGTCACCCCCAACCTTCAGCGAGGTGATCTGGCACTACTACCACCTGACGCCCGGCCACCACCATCGGATTGTGTCGTCCCACAAACACATTCTGACGTCCAGCCAGTGCCATCAGACTGGCAGAAGGAAATGTTGACAACATGAACGTGAGGAATACAAAGGAGAAATCGTGCCTGCGTATTATCTCATATGCTCTTTTGTAAAGCATCTCGAGATAACACTTGTTATGAATTGATTGATATAGTATAGCAACTTTATTGTGCTTTATCCTCTAACATTATTTGGTGTATGCTCACAAATAAACTTTAATTCCCTAATCTTGCTTCCCTGAAGTTAACATATCCACACACATAAACACTTCTCCTATCGAAATACATTTCAGGAGTCATCATGAGGTAGACAAGTCAAGTGATTCGGGCAATTATTTTGAGCTTCATATTTTCCTTCTGTCCGAATGCCACAGAGCTTGCATTAAAGACTGTCAAATTATGTGTCACATGGGTTAAAATCTCTATAAAGATCTTGGTGGTTGCTGCTGATGTCGAGGGTGAAGAAAAACTGTTGTTGTTTTGGTGGATAGATCTACAGTCATTTTCCGACCTGCCTCTTATATCAATTTATATTCCAGACAGTAATTCTGTCAAAGAGAAGTCTGAGGACGTGACACGAGGCTCGAGGGCAGGAGGTGTCACAGCCCTGGACATTTTTGGAGGACTATAATTGTCTGGAGGGACCTGCTGTAATGGCTTACAGTCCAAAGAGTACATGCCAAAGTCAAGATGAAGATCCCTCTTGGTCTATTAATCCTTAGCTCTCCTCGCCTGAACCTAAATGTGGCCCTGAACCACAGAGCAGCAAAGATGAGGGGATGTCAAATATTCTTCTCCCACCTCGCCGACCTGTCTGCATCTTTTTTTTCCCTGTGTCCCCAAAGCCAATGCAACTGCTTGATGACACATGTCAGAGACAACTCCCACGCAAGGAACCAACCTGGTGGAGTTTCTCTTCCAGATTATTCGCACAGTGGTAAAGAAAGTTTCACTGAAGCAGTTGTCTTGGATATTAAAGTCTTACATCACATGCAATTCTAATAATAGAACTGTTAAATTGCTCACATGGCTAACATTGATTGCAGTCATGTCATTCTTTGTGCACAAAACAAGATTCTCACAAGCAAACAGTTCTTTCTCCAGTCTCCGAACGAAACAACAGCTTAGAAATGCCCAAGTGATCTTTAAAGAACTGTGAAAACTTTCTACAACAAACTTTGTCAAATGATTGCGGGGAGTTGATAATCACAGGATGGTGTGGGAGAGAGTAACTCTACAGCGGAGACAACTTTCATGGAGTGAAAGAAAAACAGATGCTAAACGAGAAAACAAATGTTCGACGAACCACACTCCTGTCATGAACACTACGGCGCCGCTATGCAACATCTGGTGCTTTTCAGACACATTACCAACAACACAACTGTGTTTATTGGGCTTATGAGGATGAATGAATACAATCACACACACAGTAGATCACACATAGTGGTTCGTCACAACAGCTGAACAAGGCTGGATCACAGAGGCAGAAGTTGCTCAATAAGGTGCTTGCGGTGGTTGAGGCCATATGTAGCTGCTGCGATAAATTAACTTAAAGAGTTCCCAAGACTCTCCTGTGTCTTCTGGCGTCTTTGGCTCTCTCCGTTTTGATTACCCAAAAAGAGACCACTGTCTTTTACAAGCACCAAAAGGTAAAGTCATCTTTCTGGAGTAAATTGTCTGCTATGACATTCTCTATGGATCATTAGAGTACGAATATAGATTCATATGTTATCTGAAGTGTACTGCCAAAGTTTTATATTTCAGCTGAAAACATAGTTTTCCTTTTTTCCAAATATTTGCCTTTGACAGATATATCAATGAAACCAGCTGAAGAGTTAAAGGTCCAATTTGTAAGATATCTACTGAATGAAATCATCAAGTGACCTTACTATATGATCAGACATTAAAGAAACATGCTAGGTTGAAGTACTAGCTTCGCTGACAACAATGCAGCAGCCAGTATGTCCTCCTTCTAAGCTTAGATTCTGGTCCTGAATGGTCTGGATTTGTTTGGACCAGAGAAGGTAGGTGGTTTTGAAGGCGCCCCCCACATGGCTGTTTTGGAAGCCCCTTGGTTATATCGTCATCTCTAACATCGAGTTATTGTTCTATCGTGACTCAGACAGTCTAGGGGGGCTGGAGCCAATCTCAAGGTAACACTAGACAAGAAGCGGGGTACTGCCAGAGCAAGAGAGCAGTCGATCATATTCAGATGAGGGCAGTGTCACCAAATAACCTAAAGCACATGTCATGTGGAGGGAAGCCAGAGAAACCCCATACAGGTAAGATAATAGTATGAAAGTCCAGGAGGAAGGGTCAGTTTTATCAATCAACTTGAATTTTTGATCGAGAATAGTGTTTGACATAATAATCCATTTTCAATCAACTTTGGTTGTGATAGAAATACTGCCACTTATATAAGTTCCCATGTTGGTCATGATTACACAAGAGCTCTTTCACACAAAGCAAATCCAACGTGGAAAGGCACACTGGCAACAATGAAAATAAGAAATGTATCCCCATATAAAGGCAGACAAATGCTCTTAGATGTCTTTCGCACCATTTGTCCTCCATACATACCAAAGTTGCTCAAACATATTGTGGGAACTAGAAGCAAGGCTTACAATTTACGTCAGAATTTCAGACAGAGGCACAAAGCTGACTGGGAACATTGAGTGGCATTATGATTGGACCAGATTAAAACAAAACTGAAAAAAAACCCACCTTTTTTCTTTAAGCAGCAAACATATTTAAAGGACTTCTCACCATGCTCAAGGTTCCAGTTTGTCATTTTCCACTAATTAAAAACTGAGTCTCAGAACTCAAATACTTCCTTTTAGAGGTCTATTCACCAGGACAACACAGGTAGTGTGGCATTGTGGGGAAACAAAAGAACAATACTTCAGTATGTGCTTAATTGTTTGGAGGAAAACATTTATAAGAATAATCAAGTATTTGATAAGTTGACAATTCTGTTAACATTTCAGCTCCAGTTGTGTTTATTTTGACAAACAAAATAAAACAACTTGACAAAAAGTGATTACTTTTTTTTTAGGTGTTTTGACATCCACCTTTAAAATTGTACTTTTTGGCCCTGTTGGGTGAACTTTGCCAGAACACTCAGTGTTGGGAGACTATTTGCTACAGACTGGCAACCGACAACCTTTGTAGCAATAAAACATTTCCCTATAGGCTTAGCTAAATATAACAGTGATGCAATACTGATGTTGTTTTTTTTTTATCTGACACCACACATCTGTTACATAACTGTCCATACATTATACAAATGTAACTTCATGTCGACAGACGGTCCCCCTCTAGCTAAGAGGAGAGAACTCTGTTGGGAGGAGAAGTTCTTTTGATGTGATAAAGCATGCAGGTCACAGATCCAACATATTACCTTCTGCTCTTCATGCCTACTTTGCCAACAGGATGTTTAACCTTTCTCCTTACGGCTGAGTCCATCATCTAAGATTTAACTTAACCAGGCCTGGATTCAACAAGCATCTCCGGGGAAGAAAATCGGTCCAAACTGGCTAGAAACTCTCAGAGTGATGTTTGGTTCTACATTTAGGCCTGGAGGTATACTAAGGAAATGACCGCTATCGGTGCCACTGAGGTTTTTAAATGATATATTTTTGACAAATATTAAATTCAATTTTGAGTGGAGTGAGAAGAACACGATTAACAAGCGCTTAACAGCGTCATGTCAAGGAGGGAAATGTTTGCAATCAAAGACTTAGGTCACACCATATCAGTCTTCATTGCACTTGTTGAATCCCAAATACAACTTTTTTTCAGATTTCTCTACTTTATGTCCAACCTGATATTTCTTAATGTCTCATTTAAGTATTTAACCAATACAGAAAATGGGATTACCCAAAGGTTTAGCATAACAGTCCAGTGTAAATGCTATTAAGATAATGCTAATATATACAAAATTGACTTTCCCCTAGCAGGGTCAAGCCCATTTGTGCTATCAGGCTGTCTGCAAATCATGTTGGGGCTTAATTTCTCATCCTACAGCCAGTTCTGTGGATTTCATCCTCCACTACCTATTATTTTCAGTTTGAGAAGATGCCTGGGGGGCAGATAAACATCATGAAGCGCTAATTAAGCTCAAAGTTGCCGTCCTAGTCAGAAGTTCCAAATTTGAATGGGCTGACTTGCTGGGGCCAAATCTCTGGGTTTCCACCCCAAGGCAGTACAACAAACATCAATACTGCATTTTTAATGGAAGTAAATGGGGGTATGCATAATTTGGGAGCTCATTGAGCAGCGTTTGCTGCTTTCAAAGAGACATATTCAAAAGTGTGTCAAGCTTAGGTTGTAAATGATTTACATTTTATTCAATCTTTAAAGTATTTTCTGTCTCATAGCTTAAAGATGGTTTTAATCAAATCCCAGGTCATAAAGATGATATTATTCAAAATATCAAAATGTGATATAACAAAGACTACTGACAGGTGAGTGTGTATCTTAACAGAAAGAGCTTTTTGTAATCTAGAGATCATGAAAAACACGTGTTGAACATTGGCACACTCATCAGTTTATCCACTTGAATCTGTTCACATCACATACAAAAACAAAGAAACTCAAAGTGTGACAGCGTTTTGGGAGTAGCTCAGCCGCTGCACAGTGGTGTTACTGCTTAGTTTACTGCTCAAGAAAGTTAATTAGACGGTGGTTTGGAAACAGATGGTGTTCTATAAGAGAAATGGGAGCAGATGAATTTAATAATGTTGTGTTTTTTGCTTGGGTGTACCTCTTCTGCTTTAGTCTGCTCAAAGGCAAACTCCATCGTGGGAACAGCAAGTTGGTTGGCGAAGAAGTTCACATCTCCCGGCAACTGCAGCGAGCTCACATTGGGTCCAGGGCAGTTTCCACCACGAATGCAACTCAGCAACTGTCTCTGAAGGAGGGAAGAAAAGAAAGATAGTGTGATAAATGAAGTACACAGGATGAAAAAGAAAAGGCCACAGACAGGTGTAGTTAAAGGTCCAATTTGTAAGATATCTACTGAATGAAATCATCAAGTGACCTTACTATATGATCAGACATTAAAGAAACATGCTAGGTTGAAGTGCTAGATTCTCTAACAACAATGCAGCAGCCAGTATGTCCTCCTTCTAAGTTTAGATTCTGGTCCTGAATGGTCTGGATTTGTTTGGACCAGAGAAGGTAGGCGGTTTTAAGGGACCCCCACATGGCCGTTTTGGATGCCCTTCGGTCTGCCAGGCAAACAGCAAACCAAAAGGTGTTGCAGCGATGGAAGCGGGCAAGAAAACTGGTTGAGATAGAACTGAATTCTAACCTACCTAAAAAGCCCATACACTTTTTACACTGGACACTAATTGGTCAGGTGCCCAAGAGAGAGAGTGTGTGTAGTTTGGCCTTTTTTCAAATTAAATTTCAATTTCAAGAAGCAAACAAATGTGGATTGATTATATGAGTTATATTATGTGTGTTAACATTTAAGTGTTCAGGAGTTAAACAGAGGTTAGCAAGGTGCAAATGAAGGTCATGGCGTTTCGTTGGAAGTCACACAATTGGCGATTAAATAATGCAGGCTTCTGCAGTCGAAGTGTTCTTGGGCAAAACACTGAACCCCAAATTGTTCCAGAGGGCATAGCCAGCAGTCTGTAAATATGTAAAGTTGATGGGCACTTTATGTAGCAGCCTCTGCCAACAGTGGTATGAATGGGTGAATGTGACGTGATGTAAAAGTGTTTTGAGTGGTCAGTACAGCCCATTTAGCATTTATCATTTAAAAAGGCTGTGTGGTATGTGGTACACAACAACCACACAGCCTTTTTAAATGATAAAAACAGCCTCAACACTGTTGACTTAAATATACAATATCGGGGCGCTGGTGGCGCAGTGGTTAGTGCGCGCGCGCCCCATGTATGGAGGCTGTAGTCTTCCAAGCTGGCGGCCCGGTTTCAAATCCAGCCTGTGGCTCCCTTCTCACATGTCATTCCCCACTCTCTCTCTCCCTGATGTCCGACTCTATCCACTGTCCTATCTCTCAATTAAAGGCACAAAAAGCCCCCCCCCCAAAAAAATACAATATTAAGGCTTCAACATAGCACTGATAGATTTATGTAGACGTAAACTTGATGTGGCAATATGCATATCCTTGCTTAAACTTCACATTTGCTGTGGCTTCTATTAACTACACTTTGAGAAACATTTGGACCTCTTTGCTTCCTTGTTCATTCAGGAAGGTGTGATAGGCTAGGGTTAAGCCAAACTTTAATTAAACATACTCACAATCGACAATAAGTAAGGATGTATAGTGTATTAGCATCCAATGAATATAAAAGGAAACTTTTAGAAACTTTTATTTTATAGAAAATGGATTTAAAAATGCATTGTTGATTTAATGAGTGTTTCAGTTTGTGGATGCTCAGTAGGTGTTGTGCTAATCAGGGAGAAAAGCAATTTTTTTTAAGCCATTAAAAAATGATAGAAGTTGTTTGAACACCAAAGCCATTCAAAATAAGCAAGGACAAGCCTTAATTAGGCTAAATAAATAGCGCTGAGATTGAAAATGGTAAGAGGAGGTTGTTATTAACGTTTGGTTTGTGCCTAATTACAACAATCCAAGCTGTTGTCACGTTTCTCCACAGTTGACCGCTTTCTGGTGTTATTCCAGACTGAAGGCACAACAAGGCTGCTGTAAAGAAAAGTGTTGAGACCAGAGTCATGGTGTCGGAAAACAGAAGTCAGCAGTCAATCAATAGAAGCTTATCTTAACTGTCCAAATCCACTGTGCCCGTCCGACGTTTCCATGTTTTTCTGTCACATTGCAGTTACCGGTAATTAAATTGTTTTTTTCAAAGTCTGTCAAGGAGAGAGCTCTGCTGTCCAATCATCCCCTCTACTGTCACTGGCACACCGTCATCATCTTTTTCTAGTGTATTTTCTCTCTTTCTGTTGCTTTTTTAAACATTAACCTCTACTCTGACGCATTCCCACCCTCAGTAAATAAAGGACGGATGATAATACCTTTAACCTTGCCTCGACATGTCGGCCTGTACCTCAGTGTCACGTTCACTTTGAAAAAAAAAAAAGACTGGAAGGGCAAAAAAATGTACAAGCACATCAAGATTCATGAAGGGCATTTCATTACCCACTTACGTCTGCTAATTGTGGGAGTTAACAGGGTGGGAATAAATGCTTGTTCATGTGTGCACAATTTAAAAGGTGATCGAGATTCATAGAGGGACATTTGCCCACTGAAGGCTGACTTATCACAATGTTAGCATATTCTTCTTTCCAATCACTTACAGAAGCCTGTTAGAGCGGAGGTCAAGCAAAAAGGGCTGTACATGAAGTCTATGGTCAAATACAAACACCGGAAACTATGCATGTGTTCGGTGGTTGTTGTTTCTGTAGTAAATGTTCAATGATGAAATCGTGAAACAGACTGTGGATCATCTTAGGATTTATTCAGCCGAGGTCAGACAAAACAGAAACACACATGGCTGACAAAGTGCAGATCATTGCTGACCCATGCTGAAAATCATCTGACCAAGATCTGACAAATGTGGCCAAATCTTCATCACACAGTGGTGCTTATATTCTGCTAGAAGGTACAGCCCACAAATGGAATTCCTTTCCATTTGGGACCATCACTATAAAGAAATAAAGAACCCCTTGACTTGAACATGATTTGTATACGTAACAGACGCACACTTTAGTCTAGCAAAGAGCATGTGGTTGGCTCCTATCCAAATAAAGATCTGCTGCAATTTAGATGTTTTATGATATAAGGTTACAGCTTCACAGACCCAAAAGAAGAATGACCCTTAAACACAAAATTATCAAGATGAATGAATTCTTGAAAATACGTACTAACAGCATGTCTGAATAATTTCACTTATATCATGCATGGCCACCATGGTTTTACCATGGTTCCCAAACGTTGGCACGCCAAGGACCCCCCATATAGCATCAACCTCTCTTCCCCCCTCTAGCAAATTTCCATAAGCTCCTTTAATGTTACGATTGCAAAAACTAAATAAACAGCTCCTTTATGTTCCCTTATTTAATATACAGTTAATAATAATATAATAATAATATCTGAAGATTGTTGGAGAAAAAGAAACACATTTGAAAATGCAGTGATCAACGGTATCTTAAAAAATATCAGAATGTTATAATATTAATTTTAATAGAAGTTGATTTTCATTCCAGTTTCCTCCCTCTTCCCCTCCAGTTTCTGTGAACCCCCCAGAACATCCCAGGCGACCCTCCATGGGGTAAATGGGAAATGGACTTAAGATTGTAGAGCACTTTTTTTGTGCAGGTCACACCTACACGTTACACATACATTCACAAATTAATGGCATACGCCGCTACCGCCGAAGCAGCGGGAGCAATTCGGGTTGATGTGTCTTGCCCAAGGACACATTGAACATGGAGCTGGGGATCGAACCCCCAACCTTCCAGTTGAGACTACAACTCTACCAACTGAGCCACAGCCGCCCCAGTTGGTGAGGGCCCTCGCTTTGACAAACACAAGTCTAAAGATTATTTACTATCTTGATAAATACGACTGACTACAACCTAATCTGTTGTTTCAGTTAGAGATCTGCTGATGCATATGTTCCCCTCCATTTATTTAGAACGGTATTACTGCTGGCGTCCTATTCCCCACAGCAAACACCTGTGAGTGCACTTACAGATGTTAAAACTCAAAACTCTGGGTGGGTGAGCTCCATTTTCTGCAGCCAGGACTCAATCTGCTGTGGGATGATTTCCTCTAAATGACTGTAAAATATACCAGCATAGTGAGGAAAACATCATTATCATTACAGCTTGGCATGCTTTCGCTGACGGGGTGAAACTGTGCAGACAAAACTTTGCAATAAAACATGAAATCTAACATTTTCAAATAAACCTGTTTTGTAATTTTCACTCATACTCCCAAGTACATTTTGAGGATGTCATGCAATTTATAAATAACTAACCCTAACTCTATGACACAAGTCACCAGATGTGTGAGTCAAAGCTGACTCAAGTTAAAGTCATGATGAGTCTGCTCCACACTTGTGCTATCCAGCATCAATAACCATGCAGCTTGATGCCATACAGCTCACTTGTTTTGCATTAAATACCAATAGTCAAAGCATCAAATGTAAAATGTTTAGATGAGAGTGTGTAAAAGGGGTGTTAACCCTGAGCAGTGAATTTCAAATGTTTGTAGTGCTTTTTCTTGGGATTTTACCCTGGGTATAAATATATTGGATTACAATGTCCAGAGGCAGCTTTTATTATATCCAGTGGCGACCATTTGTACCAGCTCAGTCACTCCCCTTCATCAGCCCGACTACAGGCTACAACTACACATCCTCACCTCTGCATTCACTGGCAGTGTGCTCTACTGGAACGATGCTGCTGAACCACGATATTGGATGAACTTCATTTGAACTTGATTTGCATGAATGCCGGTGATTAGAAAAGGCTCTACCGCTACCGAGCAATCTAATTTGTGAACAAGTATGCCATTGAACTAGCTTTGACTGTCCACCACCTTGTATCCATGAGTGAACATGTTAAAACAATTTACAGCACTATCTCTAAGGGTCAGCGCTTAGGACAAACACTATGGTGCCAGTCACTGTAGAAAAAGCTGTCCAAAGACCAGCCTTAAGGATCAATATAAAGGGATTTCTTTGTACAGTCTGACTCTAAATGGATCGCAGCATGAATGTGGATTATGTAGAAAAACTTGGTTATGGTAGCCACATTGAATAAGGGTTTTTCTGAGTTTCTAAAATGGAATTTGTTTCCATTTTATGAAAGGAATAAATAATGAACATAAATGATAAACCATTTGCCGTGTGGTCATCTTATGGAGTTTTATTCAGTTCGTTAACTCCATGCATCTCAAAAGTTGTGTGC